GATGGAACTTGGACTATTGAGTTTGTTAGGAGCTGGACACTAGGACTGCGTCAAGATCCCATTAGCCTCCAGTGGACCTGGACAATGCCTTTAAGGTGTGCAAACTTATTATAAGAAACGATTTCAAGTATATGAGGACCTGTAAATAAATATGAGCGGTATGTTTAGCTGAGTCATGTTTAACTGATTTACTTGAATGATACTGATTGACTTACTTGATTCACGTCTACTTTGTAACTGACTGTTCAAAATAGCTTTCGACTATTCCCAAAAACTTAGGTGGCACCTGTGGTCAGCAGTATGCTGACCAGCAGTAAAAGTAGGGTTCCGGAAGATCAATTTAGCAAGTAGTTAAGACTGAAGTGATTACAGGGGAAACTTTATTTTCAATCAACCTAGCATATTACCTCTGAAATCGGGAGTCGAGGAAGATCAATGAGTTAGTGCTAAATCCTTTGAAATTACCGATCTTTCTTGGAAATACTATTAGTATTACCACTTTTGAATGATTCAAGTATTTTCTTTATTCATTTCGCAAAAAGCGAGGCCATTTTATCTTCGTCATTCTAAACGCTGCCATCTAATCCTGTGACGTCCTCATGAAAAAATTCGTAAGCAAAATTTTTTTTCTGCTGATTGGTGAAAGTCACGAGGGAAGCAAATGCTTGACATCGCAAACTCACCAGTCAAACAACCGATCAATAATCCGACATTGTTTTCAAGTAGGAACGAGAAGGGTATCTTCTTATCGAATTGGAATCCTGCCCATGCTAGAGGATAGCTGGCTCCCTAAACAAGATTCGATTTTAAACAGACGATAATCAATCAGTAAGTACGACTTACCACAGCGGCATATGTTAGCAGGAGGACCAAGTAGACACAAGTGTACGATTCATTCCTCCTTCGATACACTTTTACACCTTTATTAGGGGACAATAAAGAGTTCTGAAAGAAAGAACTGAAAAGCAAACAATATATTGATGTATTGACCGAAAAAAACGCACTCTATCAAAAACCGGCTCCTCGTCAGAATCAGACCTTGCCTCTACCGAACCGTCAATATTGACTTCAACAAATCGATCTCTTTCTGATGATACATCTGCTTTTTTAGGCGAATAGAAATGCTTACGAGGACTTTCTTCTTTTGATTCTAGTACTGAAATAGCTAATTCAAAATTAGTTTAAAAAACCGAACAACTGACGTTTCTTTTGGTTATAAAAAACTTACTTCCAAGACGTGACAGAATATCTGCGTCATCTTGAAAATCCATATCATATCAGCATGGGTGCCTTCCAACGAAATTTTGCCTATGAAAAGTGCGGAAAATCTGTAAATACATCCATAATAGTGACAGACATGGACTCGAAATAAGCAGAGTACGCGCTGAATTGACAACAATAAACATTGTTAAGGGCAAAACATTCTACAGTATCGGACCACTCTGTCTTTTTCGCAAGAGCGACGAATCGATAGTGGGAAAAGATCAAAGGTTATGAATTCGTTGAAATTTGTATGGCTTCGGAGGAAATAATATGCAGTGTTCTAGAATCAAGCTCTTCCCATTACGCTAAGCAAGAAAATGTAAAAGTAGAATAACAGAAGAGCAGCCGAGAATCTTTAGCCTTGTGGGATTAGGTTTTTTCCTAGATAATCGCCCATTTGCTAGTGAAGATTATTCTAGACATGATGTACTATGCGAACATTTGTTTGCCCTTAGCTAATTGTTATCGCTCGTGGTTGAGGGACCCAGCAGCTAAATATATCGCGAACTGTGTGGTAGATATCTTTACCACCACTTTCGAGCAGCAAATGCAAACAAAAAAAGCTACGTAACATTCATATATGGCAGCAAATGCTGGAAGAACGCTAAAGCGCCTGGAGAAAAAGAATTAAAGCCATAACGTTATGAAAGTCCAAATTTGATGCGTTGTCGGAATAGTGCGCTGCCGTTGGAGAGAAAAACAGGCGTAGCAAGGGCGCTGACGTCGCAATTGCAACACAGAACCAATCCGAGGGCGTCACTTGGTGGAATCTTCATCGATGTGTTGTCAGTGTGCTGATATAAACAGTACGACTCTTCAGTGCAGTCCTAAAACGAACGACACCACACTGGCAAGTGTGTGTGTGTTTGCTAACCGTTGTGTTCTTTGATAAGCGCTTCGTCTCGCGCACTCTATGACAACAAACTCAAGAACATGCAGTCCTTTCGATCGAAATGCGTATTTTCTGAGGTCAACGTCACTGGCTGCGTTTTCTTCTTGCAGTTCTGAACA